TCATGGATCGAAGAGCTTTCAGCAAAATTATGATCAATTTTTCCTTAAAAAGTATGCTGGGATATCTCGAATATTGTACCAAGTGAAACATGAGACGAGTTTTTTGCGGCGCGGCGCATTCGTACCACAAACGAGAGAATCGGGTGGGATTCAATCGGGTCACATCTTAGCTCCAATATGCTTCGCAAATGAGTATATTTTTTAAAGCGGTCAAAAGTTGGCTTTTTGTGTCCAGTCTGTTTCCTGAATCTGGCGATTTGTCATGCATCGTATAGATGCATCGGTGGGGACGAACAGAATATTCTTACTTGATGAGGTTGATCAAACATTGGTACCAAGTCAGCACACTGACAGTTCGTCCACTGACGTCGAAACGTGTTTCAATGGCGTTAATGCTTCAACAGTGTAGTTTTATCCGTCGTGAGAGACCATCACCTTTCGGGTGTGTTGCTTTCTGAAGACTGTCTATCCAAATGGAATCTTTACCGAATCGAAGAATTGGGGATAGAACAGCAAGTAGTCGGTACATCTCCGTCGGTTTTGGCCCCTCTACTCTACTTCAGCGTACAGCTTAGTCGGTTTACAGTACTGCCGATAAAAAATCGAACTGATAGGTTAACGAGACGCTTATGAGTGAAACAGTAAATTTTTCAATTGATGATGAGTGTTGCTTTGTTCACTGAGTTTGTCCGTTTGGTGGAAAATGTTCCATCACCAGTAGACATGATATCAATGCGCTGTGGACGGTCACATTATATTTTAGTGTATAAACTAAAGACTGCAAGCACGTTTCCTCCCTCTCCTTGAAACACTGGCACTCTTTACACTGGGTTGATACCATCACCATCCTGGTTAGTAACGCGGTGGATAAACCAAATGTATCATTTTGTATGCAAGAAGTCACTTTGCGGATGGCAGGTAAAAAAACCACTAGTGTTTTGAGAAACAGCCTTGTAATGAAGGGCTAAAGGATGTTCTGTAGGAGATGGCAGGTAGCGGAACACGGTTGGAAGATCCAACACACTGGCGGTGTTATTCAATACTTCTTTATATCAACTCTTGTTCTTAATATTATTTATTCCCATCTTCTACGATCATTTCTTGTATCCACTTCTAGACTGTTCACATCAGATAATGCAGGCAGCCAGGTCTTCCAGAGTATCAATCTTCTAAATGAGAAAGTCACTGAGGCTGAATACGGGAAGTTCCGCTGTAGCCCAGGTTAGGCAAATTGACAGAAGTGTGTGATTAACTAGCCTAGATAAGCCTCAAGGGTCGTATGTTGTAATCAAAGATTGATTACTTGGACAAAGTCGTTACAGCGTCCGGGGAAGTGGTCAAGGAAATGGATATCAACCCTAATCCTCTTTCGGATATGTGACCAACACTGCCACGTGCATGCTTGGATGAATACGCGGCGTAGATTTTTGTGGAATTGTGGTAATTGGTTTTGCACTATGTTCCATTTCTCCAGGCCAAATAATTCTACTGTAGTACTACTTATTTTACTCATGCTTGTTTTGCCCAAAATTTCGGGATCGATTGAAACTGATGGTAGCCAAGCATGAGGAGTTAATATGGCGTCGAAACTTTGCTTACTGACCAGTCAGATTTAGTGCCGTTCAGTACTCATTCTTCTGTATAATTCACCTGTAGACCGTTTTCGTTTGCATCAGCTGATCTGACAGTTGATCACATACGCCTTGTTCTTCATCTCAGGTCGGTTTTGTCAAACTCTTTGGAAACATTGTTAAACATGAAGGATTCACGGGATTATTCCGTGGACTGGGACCCAATATGCTCAAGGTCATCCCTGCAGTCAGCGTGTCCTATGCATGCTATGATCAATTACGTGAACTGCTCCATATCAGTAAATGATTACAGTTATCGATCGTTCACGTGTTTTCTTATGTTCAAGATTCTATCTTTTGTCTTTTGAATACTCAAGGACCTGGTTTGCTTCACTATGTGTCTTCTACTCTGCGCTTTAACGTGATGATTTTACGATCATCCGAATTCAACTGTGATAGACAAATAATGAGCGCTTTTATTCTTTGTTTGCCTTTTGGCCATCAGTGTGAAGCCACGTAGTTTGTTCTTCTGTACAATGCACAATATATTCACCCTGCTTTGTCCCCTGGATCACAAAAGCAAGCAGATGAGGAAATTTTATGGCGCTACACACATCTGATGTAATAAATGCTTGCGTGTGTGTGTGTGTGCCCGCTGCATTCTATGTGTGTTGCAATGTTTTTATTTTGCTCAGGAGATCAATGGAGCAGTTGAATTTGTGTCCGCTGCATTCTATGTGTGTTGCAATGTTTTTATTTTGCTCAGGAGATCAATGGAGCAGTTGAATTTGTGTCGCCACTTTGTACGCAGTTTGGCCCAATTAAAACGAAATTTGAAGGAATTGGTGTGACAAATTCCGAAAGGCGACGGATAACTGAAGAATGGGTGTTTAGGGTCCGTTAGGGAAGTTTTGAAATCAATCGAAAATGGTTCTCCGTAGCTCAGCCGTATAACCCTCAATGGGTCTTCAAGAATTCCATAAGCATTCTCTAAAGTTCCGGGAAGATGAAGTGAAACAAACTTTCGGTCAGGCTAAAAAACTTCACCTGTATATATCATCCGATCCCCGAGGCTTACGAATTCTAACCTCCTGGATACCGTATCTGATGAGTGAGTATACTTTGTTTATATATCTGAGTTAAAGGATTCTGGTACTTGATCCCAGGTGTCTCAGCCAGCTACTCATTGATATCACATATTATCAGTTTGTTGTGTAACTGTCTGCTCAGTTGAGTACTAAATTGACTCACCTTCGTAGGTTTTCTTATACCAGCAAATATGAACGGCATTGTACATCCTTCGCTTGCATGATTCTGAAGGTACGTGATACCCACACATTAGCAGCAAAAGCTTACTTTTGTTCGAAGATACTCTTAAGGATGGGCAGAAGAATATCTGATAATGACCTAATAGTAATGACCTTGAACAATATGAACATGCATTACGCATGAGACTGGATTTGGAACCATTGCAGTGATCCAAAGGAGGTTTCTTCGCTCGCTTCTACTGAGATAGCATCACTTACATTTGCCCCCCTGTGATGAAGTTTGTCGGGTTGTACCGATATACGTACGAAACTGAATTCTCACACTCCCGTTTCGCATTGGCGTTGGTTTGAGGACCAATGCGACCGAGTAGTACCACATTTGCCTGAATTTCTATCGATTGATACTGTGCACATTTACAAAGAGAACGTCCAAGAAGACTTAAACCGATGACTACTTTATCCGCGATACAACTTACACAGGCTTCCGGCTTGATAGTCTGACGATGAAATGGCGGCAAAGCCCCATTCCTCGCATAAAATTTTACCGTTCTCATCAGGCTTCCAAGTAAAGTGACAATCAGTAACGGTATGCCGTTTATTGTCCGTTTGCTACAGTCATTCTGATTCGCATGCCTGAGCAAGCAAGACAGTATGATCTAACCTCTCCTAGTTTCCAATCGGATGCTTTCTTTGGGTTCTCGGGGTCTATATGGACTCACAATTCGCTGAATCAAGAAGGTAGACTAACCGACCGAGTGCACAGAAGTGCAACGCACCGTGCATCATGGTTACTTTCTATGTGCTCCATGTAAGCCAAAGACCAGTGCAGTATTTTTTCGACAAACCACCGTGGACTTTGTAGAAAGGCTGAACAAGTTTAACACTTGGTATGCAGTAAGGGCCTTGGTCAGGTCACATTCTTTTGCTCCTGCTATGGATGCCCGGGTTCGCCTCAAGGACCTTCGGAGATTTCACTTTCCAGGAGGGAATTCTTGCTGATAAGTGCAGATAAGCTACTAACGTTGGAGCAGTCTTTCTGGAATGAAGTCATCTATGAAAGCTCGTCTGTGGACCCAAATTTGGCTTTCGACGCACCCCACTCCACCAACTCCATTTTAGAAATAAGCCCAATGTTTGCCAAAATTGCCTTCTATCCTTTGTATAAATTGGGCTGAAAGTACCTCTGTCTACATTCTAATCAAGGAATTTTTGGTACTAGCTTGACATCCTGTTAGACTAATCATTTTCTCGTGTCTACTTCTGATTTACTTTGTGACGAAATTGGGGTGACTGTTTTCATTCTATCGGGAACACTGTGGAAGAATTCTGCCAGCGGTTGGTTTCATCAGGTTGATGCCACCGTCCACCTCCTATGCTGAAGAGCTTGGTAAGATTCAAATCGTGCTTTCGTAGCAAGATCATCTTTCATTCTGGTCACTGTGTTAAGGGCGCGATTCATTCATGTGCAGATTCTTGTGCGGATATGAAGGCCGGAATGTTTCAGAAAGGGGGCAAGATGGCCCAAGTGATTAGAACGCGAATTTACTGACCGGAAGGTCCGTGGTTTGAACCCGACCTCTGTCTCTTGACTTCCCCTGTCTAGGCATTGGCCACCATGCAGTATCCTACCCCTCGTGCAACTTTCGGGTGGCATGGAATTTAGGCACCGAAAGGTTGCTACAGCTGTACGATGTTACAAAAACCCATATCTACAAGTTCTTTCGTCCATTAGTTGGGTGGGTACAGCGTACATGGTTCAGATGGAATATCGCTTCTAATTTCTTATCCCCCCGTTATTACCACCTCGGACCTTTACCCTGAGACCGGTTGATAGGTGCACAGTGATAGTGAATACCATAAGAACACTATAAACGAGAGATTCAGTTGAGTCTTCCGTGAAAAATGGCTTGCTAATGAGTGTATTTCCCGAAAACAGTCCAATTCGGGTTCAAGTAGAACATAAGGTTGACGAAAGCTCGGGGACTGCGCCTACCTGATGAGCCCCAAGAGGGGCGAAACCGGCCATGGGTTGTCGAAAAGTATTCAGCAAGCTTGTGAGTAGTTTCTTTTATGAAAATATACTGCGATATCTCGAATATCGTGCCAACTGAGGCTGGCTGTGTGCAGCACATTCAGTTGTAGAATATCATAAACGAGAGATTCAGTTGAGTATCTCATGAGAAACAAATTGATTCGCAAATGAATGTATTTGTCGCAACAGCAACCCTTGCGCTCGACACTGAATTGTTTTATTCTACCACCAAGGCTCTCAGGCTTCGCGGGAACAAACGCTGTCTTTTGGGGGCAGTTTGATAGCTTCAAAACCCCATAGCGACGAGGTTTAAACTTGCCGTAACCTGATAGCATAATGATAACCAACAATGTTTTTTCTCAGACAGATTAATTCGGGAAATATTGTCTAAGTGGATCATGATAATCTCAGGTTGCGAGAGAATACGTTTGGATACCATCATCTCGCTTTCTCTCCGAGGATTAAAGTTTTTTCTACACTCTGGTCCAACTTTCCATATCGTCGCATCAAACAAAATGAATTTCGCTTGCGTAACTTTCCTTCGTCCAAAGTAAAGCCCGTCCCAGTTTAGTGTACATTTCTTATGCATGGTGGGTGGAATAACAAGCAGAAAACCAGCATTGGGGTTGTAAAACCACAGAACAGAACTGCGTTTTTTCCCCCTTAAAAACTCCCTTACGCTGGCTGTATTTCAAAAAAAGGTCATTAGAACATTTCAGAACGCTAGGGAAGTTTCGATTGGTGCTTTTCGGCAAATGTCGGACTAGTTTGCAGCAGTGCCCACTCAAACGTTGAGGTAGGAGAATTTTACTGCGAGTTATGTAAGTAACGTTATGATTCCTTGAGCTTCAGATTTGTAAAACCGATGTTTAATGGTGCTTTTATTCCGCCCTAGCTAGCTCTTGCCGTAAATTTTAGCAACAGACTACTGACAAGGTTGGAAGTGTATGAATCGGCTGACAGGCGCTTTCTGATATTCATACGCTACGCATGACTTTGGGCCAATGAAAGATCATTCTATCCTTCCAGTGGAACTTCATTTTATGAAGTGGCAGTACTCTTGAATTTGCTGTCGTAGCCTAGAAAATACGAAGGAAAAAACCCTTGTTGACATTTCTGGCTCGACACCACCTCCCGTCGCCTGTTAATTCGGTCAGTAGCCAGAATTAGGCCTCACAAATGACCGTATAATCAGTGTACATAGATCCTTTTATCCAATACGCAAGTCCGGTAGGAGACATATCACAAGTGAGTCACTGTGCCTGTTGATACAACTGAATTATGCTTCGTTGTGCACTGACAGCAAGCCGAGTGGAACATGTATGGCGCCGAACAAAACCGCTATTATCGCCACACACCTGACAGATCACTCTCACTGGTTTTGGGGTGATTCACAAAGACAAATCGCGCACTAATTTTGCCGAGCGCTGGTTATGGGGGGGGGGGACAATTACTCCAACTTTGGTTGGAAAAAAACAAGCTGAAAACAATAGTATTTGTTTTTACGGTCCAGACACGCGCCGGCTATTGTTTTTACGGTCCAGACACGCGCTGGCTGTTTGTCCTTATTTGCCTTCTGACCAGTTGGGCGTATGCATTTTCGCTGGGATCTTTCAAGGTTGGACAGGAGCCCACTGTGAGCATTATTCATAATTAGTCACCAGTTTATCTCAGTTGCAAAATGTAGGTGCTTGGATAAACATTTTCGCCTGATGTGAGAGGCACACTGTTTGGTCTATAGCCAAACAGGACGTCTGCCGACTCGAGTTGGCAGAACGTAGAGGTGGACGGGATGAATTCTGATTCACTGCTGTGACGGGTTGTGTACATGCATCCAGGTAATGTGACTTCCTACTCATCCAGTGTTTAACCACTTAGCTAATCAGTCCTCTCATGGAGTTTCCGAAGGCAACCACGCTATTGGTTGAATGTGTATCATCACTTGAGGGACGGTGAGTTCCAACTTTAGCCTTTTGTAGTGGAACTTCCGTCATTTTATCTGCTCCTTTACAGTTTTTTTAAATGGATTCGAACCTTTAGAAATCTACTTATTTCTCCGATTGCCAGAAGCGATTATGAAAAACAAGGATGTGGAGATTAGTCGGCACGACATAATCCTCCTTTCCATGTGGAACATCCCTACTTTGAAACACGGCCAACGTTTTTTCACAGCGCTAGTTTCTGCGCCGCACCCAGCAAACACCAAGCTCACTGGCATACAGACAAAGCGTGCAAGACAGCAGTGAGCTGCAGTACGGGTGTAACGGTGATACTACTGAGAGGAGACATGCGAGTAGTATGTGTTGTTCTTGGAATTTCGCTTTGCGTCTCTTGAAAAAGGGAGATGTGTTGCGGAATTTGTGGAGTCGCTTTGTAACATTTGCCTGGATTTGGGCGATGGGTGTTTGGAGTCAATGAATATCCAGGAAAGTTCAAGAAGACGCATTCAGGAGAAGATGGATGCCCAGTTTTTGTAAATAAGATGTAAATGAGATTTTTGCTTCCCGTCCAATAGTCTGTAGCCGGTCGGTTGGTATTTACCAATAAGTAAGTCCGGGGTGGAGGTCTTCTTCCTTTCAAAGGTAGTAATCTCATGGCAAAGAACTTATTTTGGTTATAGATGTCGCTATTTCAAATAAAATGTGTGACCTAACAACAGTTATGACTGCTGTTTTACCACAATTTTGTATGTTTTGAAGATAAGCAAATCCTATGCACCTGTTGTTAGCTTAGATGGCACTGTCTTTCTATAAGTAGCAGTTGTCGTGCATAAACAATTTTTCTGCAATAACAAACTTGTTGTTTGTTTATTAGCGACAGAGGATCGTTGTCTCTGTCTGTAGGTCTTGTAAAAATTCTGATCTCGATCTACTGACACAAAACAACGCGTGTACCAAGCAGAATATTGCTAACTGGTGATCGATCTGTTCATTAGTTTGACTCTAATTCCCGCAGCTTCAATCACCAAGACTCAGTCAGTGGATTCTGGGCTCGACTGTCGGGGAGGATGCCATTCGGTACATGTAAGAGGCAGTCATCTTCTTCGTGAAACAAAGTAGCTGGCTTCCTCGACTGAGTAAGTTTACGGTTGCACCTGTGGTTATCTTAACCGCTAAATTTAGGCATGTTTCTGTGATACGACAAGTCTCGATGCACGAAGCAGCTAATTCAGGTGACAAGAAGTTACTGGTTCACTTTTTAAGTTACACTAGATTAATAGGAATCACAGTATGAACCAATTTCTAGGGAAAGTATGGGAAAAAAGTATCATCTATACGTGCAATTTACTTAAATTGCCAGCCTTCCGAATAATTCACGAAGACATTGGCAGGAAACTGCTCTGAAATAACCCAGATGAAACCACACTTGTTCTTCATGGTTTACCATCGTCAAACCTCATAGGGAGCATAAACCACGCCGCTTGAACTGTTCGCCTCTGTACCTACGATCACTGATAAAACAGCAGATGGTTGAATGCGTATGACGTATAAATGCAACAAACCCAAGAAACTACCCCCCGGAAAGCATACAGTAGGGCTTCTCCAAGAACAACGACAACAGATTCCCCTCTCGGAAAATATTCCTTTAGAAAAATTGCTTCTTTATGTACATTATAACATTGTATGGAATTTATGGGTTGCCCAACTACTTTCTTCTATCTTTCCATTATGCTCCGATACTACCAACTGATTGCTCCACTAAGAACAATTTAGCTGTGGCGCACTTTGGGTTTTTCAGGTTAGCTAGGCTAATTGGTGTCATAGCTTGTGCATGCGATTGTTTATGTGGTCTTTTATTGCTGATAGTGTCCTCTAAGATGAAGTTGGAAAAAGAGTGATGTGTTGCTTTGGCAAATGGATGTCCAAATGGACGTCCAAAGGGATGATTTGTCCCTGAAGACTTTGCTTGTTCTGCGATTAAGGTACTAACTACCTTATCCGAATACTAGTGGTTCGAACACAGCTCCGGTATCTCGACTACTCCTGTCTATGCCTGAGTAACCTGGTAATATCTCAGCCCTCATGCCACCCTCAGGTGGCATGGTAACCAAGCACTGAAAGCCAAAATACTATATTTACATTGTTTTCCTTGTACTTTTGCAAATCGGGGACTGTAACTGACGGATCGTGCAAAGCAGGAAACCGGGAAAGGGTTGTCGGAGTGTTTCCAATTGAATTATGTGTTCCGCCAGAGGAACAAGCAGTTTCATTCCCCTTTATAAGGCGGTTTCGACGAATAAAGGAAGCTTCAGTTAGCACCATTGTAACGGTGGATACTACTGATGGAGCATGCGAGTAGTATGTAATTTTCTTGTAAATCCACTTCGCGTCTATTTAAATACGGAATTTGTCGAATTGCTTTGTAGCATTAACTCACATTTGAGTGGTACTCAATGAGCATCCAGGAAAGTTCGAAAAGACGCGTTCGAGAAGAATACGGATATTTAGATTTTGTAAACAAGATGCATATGAGAGGTTTGCTTCCCTGTCCGATAGTCTGTAACTGTTCAGTTGGTGCTTTCCAGTAAACAACCCGTCAGCGAAGATCTTCTGCCTTTCACCATCAGCTGGTGAGCCTTGTTGCTTGGGGACGTGTTCCAAGCTGATTTCAAATTCTGGTCCCTGTTCGATGGGTGACCTTTTCACTCCCGCCAAGAGGAGTAAAGAGTAAACTGTTCCCGTACTCAGCAGCTCGCTCACGATACACATGCCAACTTTTCAAATTATTAGTAACGTTGATTTGAAAGACCAAAGATAGAGAAGAATTAGGCATTAACGTGGAGAAGACCACTGGAGCCCCATTTATTTCATCCGTTGCATCTTACCAAAGGAAACACCTTATGAGGTTATCGGTCATTCGACCTGACTAAGAACAACGATAGCATACCGCCGCGAACTGTGTGAGATAAATTTCTGATGATAAATGTTAATTCGTTCACCGATGTGCTGTAAACCAGAATACCAAAAATGACAAAATGTGCAATGCTACACATAATACTTTTTTCGTCACAATCCAAATGTCATTTGCACAATATCAGGCGTCCAAACATCGCGTGTACTGTCAATATTGGCAGTTGTTTCACATAGGCTATTGGTCTCCTGTCTTATTTCCCAACGGGAAGTCTAAATACGCAGGGGACAGACCACTTGTGGTGTTCACCTCTAGTTAGTTAACATTTCTAACATTACGAGTTATGTAAGGTCAAGAGTAGGACAATTCGATATTTTCACGTGGAATGACGTGTGTGGACTGAAAGTGTGTCCTTGTAATGTACTACTCATAAGGTTGCTGAAAATCCATCGACAGCCCACGACCGGTTTCGCCCTTCCCCTCTGGGTTCATCAGGTAGGCGCAGTCCCCGGGTTTCCGTCAAACTTATGTTCTACTTGAAACCAAATTGCACGAAATTAGCGGATATACACTCATTTGCAAACTAATTTGGTTCTTTCGAGAGACTCACCTGGAACCCAGCTGAATCTCTCGTTTATGATGTTCTCAGGCAAGTGTCCCTCTAAAGTGTCTACGCGCGGGCAAGAATATCAGTTTAAGTCGGTGTTTTTTGATATTTTTCAGCAGTCAAATGCTGTGTTCTGGCAGCTCTCCGTCAACTCAAACTGGTTTACACGCTTTTCGATAAATAAACTCATTTGCAAATCATGAAGGAGAGATTAAGTTGAGTCTCCCGTGAAAACCAAATTGATTTGCAAATGAGTGTATTTCTCGAAATCAGTTCAATTTGGGTTCAAGTAGAACATGAAGTTGACGAAACTTGGGGACTGTGCCTACCTGATGAGCCCCAAGATAGGCGAAACTGGTCATGGGCTGTTGAAGAGTTTTCAGCAACGTTGTGAGTAGTTTCCTTTATGGTTTACATGCCCCTTCAGGGAGAGTCGGCAAACTCACCCGTTACTCAGGGCAGTAAACCAAAAATTTCATCAAACGTTTGAGGTGGACGAACAAGAGGATCTATTCTCATCCCTAGAATCCAGTCTAAGGTGGAACGTCGACAGGCACTGTGCGGTTGTTTCACTTTTGTTGGGAAGTATCAGCAGTGCACATCCCACGGAACTCCTGAAATGATCTGTCATAGGCAATGACTTCTGACCGGGTTGCTCTGCATTGAAGATAACTAGCGGGGCAAACGTTTGCGCGTCAAACGAGGGTGTCCTTTCATGACGGTAGTCTTTACAGACATGCGTGACAATTGCGTATTGGGTGCTATTTTAGAAGCTCAAATTAATTACTCCTGGTTTAGTCAAAACCACTGTTATCCAGAGGCAAACTGTCTTCATTGGGGATCGGAAGAGATGGCCCCAACACTCAAGTTTCGTTTATGGAGTGATCACCAATTCATACTTGATCGCGGTACTGGGACCCAAGGCTGAAAACGCCTGTTAACAACTATTGGATGTCACTAAAACACCCTTGTTAGGCTCCACACTAAATGTTGGAATCTCTGACAAGCGTGTAAATACAGGTTGATATTGTTCGCCTTGGTTCACATCCTTCCCAAATGCAAACCACTTTAGATAACTTAAATGACTCTGCCTCACGGTTCGACATGCGCTTCACACCTGTAAAGTGTAAAGTGCTGCTACAAGACTGGGTGGGATCAAACCCACACCTCGACGTGGTAGATAAACTTGTTTACCTGGGCAGCTGTACAAGTTCCGGTGGACCGGTTGGAGACGAGATTATTTCTCGAGTCGGAAAGACCAGGACAGCTTTTGCCATCCTCCGACACCGATGGCGCCGACGTGACGTCAGTTTGTCTGTCAAGGAGAGAGTTTACACCGCGATGTTCTGATCCATAATGCATTATGGATCAGAAACGGGGCCCCCATACCCAGAGGATATACGGAAGATGTCAGTGTTTGATCATTGGTTTCCCCGCAGTATTGGTCAGGTCTGGTGGGAACATCGGATTAGCAATGCTGAGGTATGCCAGATGGTCTTAGGAAGCAGGAACTCACGCACGTTTCATAGGTTGCGCTGGTTGGGACGTGTACTCCGCATGCCAGAAGACCGTCTGTCTCACAGAGCTCTTTTCTGTCAGCCTTGTTCTGAGTGGAAGTGACTGAGAGGTGGACAGTGTATGACCTGGCAACGGAGTACGAAAACACCAACCAGTGAACTTGGTCAGGTGTGCTGTCTGGCGCATCCCTGGATGGGGGGACCCCGGGACTCAACTCACCATTGGTTAATGACATTGACAGAATTGGCCCAATCACGCAAGCAGTGGGGCTCGCGCATCACCATTATCGCGTTCACTGCGTAGCTACCCAATTTCCGAGCAAACTGAACACGCACTCGCCCCAAAGGCTTAGCTGTATGTCCCACACTGGGACCAATGTGCCTATGGTACACGGTTTATAGCTGATAAATTGATTGACTGATTAACTGATTGACTGATTCCTACTTTTTACTCGCACAGGCGTGGCTAGTGACCGTGTGATTCTCAGCTTTGCGATAAGAAATGTTGGCCAATCGTACATTCTGCTCCATCCACCTAAAAGGTCTCGACTAGGAGACGACACAATTAAGTTGCTTTATACGATCAAGGAGAAGGACCGCCATATGTTTCCTGAAGTATGACCTGATGTGCTACGGGATAGCAGCTCAGTTATAAAAAAAGCCATATCTGATAGAAGCCAAAAGGCATTTTGTTTAGGAGATAACGACGTAAAAATTCGTTGACAAACAAATTTCGCTGAAAAAACCAGTGGTTTCCATTTGTTTCAAAAAACCACTTTCGCTCGCGAAAGTCACACATACTTCCACAGCTCATATCTGTAGTTGCAGTTACGCCAACCATTTTCTGCTCGAGCTTCACTGCAGGATTGGAAAATGTTTAGAATTCATCAAGAATCTGCCATAAAGATCTTCAGACCAAACATGATCTACCGCTGCATGAAGAGAATATGCCGGTGGGAATTACAGTGGCTTATTAGTAACGAAAGATCGAACTATTAGTTGAACTGACACCTTGTATGAGTGTACTCCTTCCTCCAAGCTACCTGCGGTTCCTGTGCTGGACCCATTTGAAGAAAAGTTTAACTGCAAACTGTAACTTCAGGGTGAATTAGCGCTGCTTCGTACGTATTATGGTTGTTCCGTTTTCACGGAGATATCGCGATACATATATAGGCGTAATATACTACTTATAGGGTTGCTGAAAATACTTCGACAACCCACGAACGGTTTCGCCCTTCTTGGGACTCATCAGGCAGGCGCAGTTTCCGAGTTTCCGTCAATTTTATGTTCTACTTGAAACCAAATTGCACGATACACTCATTTGCAAACAAATTTTGGTTTGCGAGGCACTCATCTGAAACCCAGCTGAATCTCTCGTTTAATATGGCTCATTCGTGCATTTCGTTCGAACAATACCTTCGAAGTACGGTGCATCCAATCGACATTCGTCTTTGATACAAGTACCTTTACCGAGGAGGCTGTTTACACAATTTAACTGGTAAATCTATAAATGGCACTGAACTGTATACGTATCTGAAATTGACAACTGCATCCAGAATTAACGCAGTGGTCTTTGATGGTCGGGGAATAATATGGCGGAAAGAATCGAATCGGATCAGTTCACAGCATCATTTTGTTGAAATAACTTCCCTGTTATCCAGGTAAAGCAATAGCGATAAGATAGTCTCCGGTTTTCCCCCGGCCTGGGTGGGTCGATAAAATGTCATGATTTGGAGAGATGAACTGCCAATCGGAGCATCCGATTACTCAAGGTTACAGCACGTGCTAACTATTCTCAGTTGGTCAGTTGACGAAAAAGTCTATACAGTTTCCAGTGTCATTCAATCATTTCAGCATGTGAGGGCTAAGAAACTGAAAGAATTAATTTCACCGACCAGACGTCACTTCAAGCAAAGTGCAAAGCCCTTGAATTCCAAAACAAAAAACACCCTTCTCTCTAGCCGTTGTTTGGCCAGCATTCAATTATTTTGCTAATCCGACACTTGTGTCAAACGTTCCCGTTTTAATTTAATCGGCTTACACAAGGAATAGACTGCGCGTGCCACGCGACAGCTACCTGACGCCTCAGTTCATTCCACACATAGGAACGACATTTTGACAAAATCAGTCCGCCTCTGATTTCCCATTGCCGTTTTGTCTACAAACAATGCATACAACTTTGATGATACCATCTCTTTCCGTCTGCGCCCTACTTCTTCGTCGTCGCCACATTTCCCCCTCTTCCTGTGCGCGTTTTTTTGTCTATTGGAATGCACGCTTGATATGTTGTACTCACGAGGTTCATTTTGTGTGTGCGTCTGCATGTCGGTGTTTGCGCGCGCGTGTGTGTATTGCCTCAAAATTAGCAGATGCAGTTCTTTGGTCTACGGACAATAACGCATAACTGGTGCTTCAAGGCAGGACAGGAAAAAAGGTCGCGTTTTTTTTACAATACATGAATTACCATTCAAACCCTCTTTTGACATGTTCCTGCGAGCAATTGTGTGTGGCGGGGAATCCGTGGTTCCGAGATTTGTAGGAATGAAGAAAAATACAACTAGTATATTAGTATATTAGTGTATATGCAGTATAAGTAGTGTATTATACTATATAGTACAGTTTAGTACGGTATAGTATACTGTATAGTAGTATATTTGTACAATTACCTATGCGCTTTAACAAATTCACAAATCACAAATGAGAGATTCAGCTGGGTTCAAGGTGAGTCTCGCTAAAAAAAATTTTACAGCCAACAAAGCTTCGCACAGAAAGCGGGCCCCTAAACGAAACGTGTTCGCTTACCTGTGAGATCGACATGAGATTTTTCAACATGAGATTGACGGAAACTCGAGGACTGCGCCTACCTTATGAGCCCCAAGAAGGTCGAAACCGGTCGTGGGCTGTCGAAGAGTTCTCAGCGACCATGTGAGTAGTGTATTACGAACTCACACTTCTTATTGTGATGCCTGTTCACATTGAATGAACAATATGTTGTGGTCTGATATGGAAAAGAATGTTGATAGTTCTGCTTGTTCATCTCGACCACCGGCGTTGTAGCTGATGTTTGATGATCTGGTTTGATATGTCCAGGAACTTGCAGGAATCCGGCTTGAGGTTGTCGTGTTACGTATTTGACTTGGAAAATCTTTAGTCTGTAGTATAATTGACACATTTTGGTGCTCGGTTTTTGTGTGAAATACCCGAGCGACGTACAGAATTAGCACTTCGAAACTGAAAAACCACGGAGAACATCCAAGATCAGAAGAGCTTGTGAAGTAAATTTGTGTACTACATTTTTATGCAACACAGTGCTACCAAACGACAGTGACAGGTCTATACTACTAAAACGAATAATCAGCAGTTTCCGTCGTATGCAAATTAATGTACAACGTGTACTGTTATTCGGCACATTCAAAATTCTTGATTGGTGCTATGTTCGGAGAGAGTGCAATTTAACGGTGTGGGCTCTTTAAATGAAGTCCGGAATATGTTCTACGACAATGGGAGCTTTGAACGCTTGTTTAGTGTGTGAAAAACGTTTTCAATAGATGTTTACCCCGCTGTTCGTTTAAACAGAACCTTTCGACGAGTCCAACGGCAAAGCTCAACACGATCGAAAGTTTAGAAAACAACATCTAAGGTCCTGGAATTGCTTTCCGTCAATTAGTTATCAGAAAACACGTCTTGTGAGATGTAATATCGTCTAATGGTTCCTGGATGTCCACAAACAGCCTTGATTACATGTGATTTCCCTTAAGATCGGATCTCATTATCCTGCCAGTGAAGTCACCCTAGCCTTCATAAAGGATACTACTCACAAGGTTGCTGAAAACTCTTCGACAGCCTTGTGAGTAGTTTCCTTTATGAAAATATAGTGCGATATCTCGAATATCGTGTCAACTGATACATGGGGCGGCCTGTGTGCAGCACATTCAGTTGTAGAATCTCATAAACGAGAGATTCAGCTGAGTCTCTCGTGAAAACCAAATTGATTTGCAAATGAGTGTATTTCTCGCCAACCTAGCCTTGTTTGAGACCAGTCAGAGTGGCATACTTCTTTGGAGTGATTAAATTCCCCTCCAGTCACCTCTGCTACAGGAAGAAAACACCCCACAGATGGCGCTGGTCTCCATCCGGACAACAGAAGAGAAACAGGTTGCATGGGAACACGTGACCTTCACATCGCGAATCAATAGCGAATTAACAACCGAGGCACTGTGTGATAACTTTGTTACCAGCTTCATCGGACTGCTCGCAAATAGGGCCTGTGAAGTTAGTTACACCAAATGTTATAACCGCAAATGTGGCCGGATTCCAACTGCAAAATGAGTAGCAAGAGAGGGTACTGTTTGCTCAGTCTCTTTGTTCTTATCATGACTGCTTAGTCCAGTTTCCCTTGTTCTCTTTTTAGTATTCAAGTGTACCGACCCATAGCTTGACGCTGCACAGCTTCCCATTTTGTTCCCATTGAGAATTTCGCTTGTCCAACTGCACTTGCCGATATAATTTACCAATCTGCAACCTTTAGCTCATCCGGATGTCGTTTGGAGTGGTAAAATGTCATCCGGTAACTGGTGTGCTTCCTCTGCCCCAGAGTTGATTTAGGGCTGCATGGATCGGACAGTAAGATAACTGTGAAACAAAAGAAAGCAAAGGTTACCGAATCGCCCATGGTGTTGCAAGCTGTAGCGCTCAGTTCGAGGGTAGAAGAAATCGCGCGATAAAATGTCAAACATCGTATGAATGAAGTAAAGAACACCAGTTTCACGCTCTGTTTAAAATCATAGCATGTATGCATGTATGTTCAAATATGGGGTGGATTTAGAGCGACTGTTTGATTGTAATAACGGACCAAGTGCATTTTGAACGCATTGTGCCCTAATGTCTCTGAACAGATGGCATGGGGACGCCCATTTCAACAAACGAATGCATGAACTTTAGGCTCTCCAATGTTTAGCTTAATGCTTCCTAAAATAATCAAGTCCCGTTTACTCCAAACATTCGGAGCCAATTAATGCAAACTGTGTTTGAAACGTTTCAAAGAACGCTTAAATTTTCAAAATTCACAAATAGTTCAGTGAAATGGATTAGGTTTTTGGATTGAACCGTAAAAACTGGAAACCTAAAGGAACTTGTCACCTATCAGGGAGCGGATTCATGCCAAGTTAGCTCATGGGAAATTCAGCAATGAATGGAATCCCTCATTTGTACTCCTAAATGTATCCTTCCCTTGTTCAATAAGGACACTGTTAAAAATAGTACTGTCCTATGACGTTGTATGTCCTGTGTATGACTGCGGTTGTCTTTCAAGGATGTTTGTCAGGATGGCAAACATGGAAGTGAGGATGCGTTGGTCGATTCTCAGTGAAACAGCGTTGTTTATTTCATCAAGGGTTGGGTTGGGTTCCGGATTTGGCAGTCACACCGAACGAAGCCGATAGACGCAACAGGTTTACGGTGGACCTCATTCTGTGTATCCGGAGTAGAACGGAGATTGAGTGAAACGGGGGAGTTCTGTAGAAGCTCTACGGCCACCAGCATGCACCAATGATTGTCCAGTTGAATTGGAGACAATTGCAAACTTGTGACCAACAGAAATACACTCATCTGCAAATCAATTCGGTTTTCATGAGAGACTCAATCAAATCTCC